ACATATTTAAAAAGTTTAGAAAGTATCCTTCAGAGATAAAATCTTACTCTTGGAATTGCATAATTAAATACGAATATTCAGTCGACGTGTTTTTGTGTTCCTGTACAAGATGTATGCAAAGAAATGTATATCAGCAGGCCAGCAGCAACACATGAAACAGGATATATGATGTTGCTTTTAAGCCATTCATTTAAACTTTCTAATTGTCAAGTGTCTAATTTCAGGAGCTATGAGTTAATGGAAGAGACTCTTAAAGTGTATGTATACAGAGAAGGAGCAAGACCTGTTTTGCATTCACCATTTCTGACGGGAATATATGCTTCTGAGGGATGGTTCATGAAACTGATGGAAGCTAATACGAGATTTGTTACCAAAGACCCAAAGAAAGCTCACCTGTTTTACTTACCATTTAGTTCTCGAATGTTACAGGAAGCTTTGTATGTAAAGAATTCACACAGTCACAAGAACTTGATCGAGTATCTGAATAATTATGTAGACATGATTGGCGGGAAGTATCCCTTCTGGAACAGAACAGGGGGAGCTGATCATTTTCTAGCTGCTTGCCACGACTGGGTATATTTCCATCCTTTTAATTAATTAGTTGCTGGGTCCACCGACCGTTTGTTATTTATACTCAATGAAACAATAAACATTATATCTCATTTATCTTCATGCAGGCCCCCGCAGAAACAAGGCAGCGCATGTCTAACTGCATAAAAGCACTGTGCAATGCTGATATCAAAGAAGGGTTTGTGTTTGGGAAGGACGTATCTCTGCCTGAAACATTTGTCATCAATTCTCGGAACCCGGCTCAAGACCTTGGAGGATTTCGAATTTCCAGGAGACCAAATCTGGCCTTCTTTGCAGGCAGTATGCATGGGTATGTTAGGCCAATTCTGTTGAAGCACTGGGAGAATAAAGATCCTGACATGAAAATATTTGGAAAATTGCCCAAGTCCAAGGGTAACAGGGACTACATCCACTACATGAAGAGCAGCAAATACTGTATATGTGCTAGAGGTTACGAAGTGAACAGTCCAAGAGTGGTGGAGGCTATTTTTTACGAGTGTGTCCCGGTCATTATATCAGATAATTTTGTTCCTCCCTTTATTGAGGTATTGAATTGGGAATCGTTTGCTGTTTTTGTGTTGGAGAAAGACATCCCAAATTTGAAGAGCCTACTGCTTTCCATCCCCACAAAGACCTATCTTCGAATGCAGATGAGGGTCAAAAAGGTGCAGCGGCATTTTCTTTGGCATGCCAATCCTGTCAAGTACGATATATTTCACATGATACTTCATTCTGTTTGGTATAACAGAGTCTTCTCCATAAATGCAACATAAATGTTACAGACAGAGCTCGTGTTTAGTTGATTGAATAGGCCACTGTTGATTGGGAGGTCTGGTGTAAATATAAATATTTTCCCTACTGATTGTTAAGTTTGTGGAGATTTGCTGTGTCCAAAATAACAATGTCCCTGAATTATTGTGAAATAAGTTTAATAATGGCACAAAGTCAGTTATTTTATCTTTTTCACGTAGAGATAACTCATGACTCTGTTGTCCGATACGAGCATGAGGACAACTCTTAACTGCTAGTATTGAAGTACAGCGGCGACAACTGCAAACAGTCTGCTTTAGTTTTGACTCTTGACAGAAGAAAGTTCTGTGACCATTGATGGTATGTTTCCATAGTTCACACTTCGCACCTGCCCAGAAGCTCTTGTTATAAGAAAAGCTGCTGCCTCTAGAGAAGATCCTCTTGATGCTAACGCTGTTAACTTCTGGTGAAGATCTACAAATTTGCATATTAACGGAGCAGATTTAGTTTCTTAACCAGTAAGGAATGTTTGCATGAAGTATTTCAAGGTTTTTGTGGTAGCGCTTGATATCGAATCAAACGACTTCTTCATTTCACTGGGAAGAAGGAAAAATAATGTTTCACAGACAACTTAACAAATGGATAGATGAAGACAATCATTTTGTTTCAGGTTAGTGGTGCAACAAGGAAGATACATTTCATGTGCCTTTGGCAATCTGTTTAAAGACGGTGGATTTTGATTGCTTTTTTCAAATATTTGAGCAGCGTTCATCTCAAGTGGTAGATCGTCCTTAAAATGGAGGGGTACTAGCTTCATATTTCTCTGGCAATACCGAATTTGGACATGCTCATGATGATAAGCACATTGCCAGCCGTACTGAGATCATATTTACCCAAAAATTGAAAGAAATTCGTATGCAGTGTGCCGTATCAAAATGCAACGAATAAACAGTAGAAAAGCATAATTTCCATTGAAACAGAGCATGGCAGAAGGTAATCGATCATATTGCCCGGAAAAGAACCTGCAAATAATTGTACTTTGCTATTTGCTTGCACCACCTTCGTATCAACATGAATTAGTACACATTCCAATAGAAAATCAAGGTCACAAGGTAAGACTATAATAATCAACATTCTTCTGTGGGGCCCCACTTAGAATGCATGAAATTAAAGTATATATGTGAAGAAGCAAAAGCTGCAACTAAAAGTCCCCGTATGATCCTGAAACTATCATCTGAAAAGCAGGTGAACAGGACATGAGATAACATCAGACTCATTGTGTGACCATACCATGCATGAAATATTTACCATGTTTAAGTAGGTGATAAGGTCCCACCGACCGGCAGTGAAATTAATGTGGGTCGAACACCCTGCTATATCTTGCAGTCGCATGTATGGGCAATACACGTGAAACTTATAGCAAAGGCGGTGCCGCCGCCTGTTTCAGTCAGGATTCTCCTTACCTCATTTGACTCACCTCAACATTTCAACCTAGGGAACCCCATCCTCTGATTAAAGCAATGTGTCACAAACAGTGCATCCACTTCCTCTTTTATCTTTTGCATGCATGCAATACCCGAGGTTGAAGTGAATTGAGGCTAGCTTCTATTACGCGGTTAAATAAAGTGGTACACTCAAAAATAATGATTTAGTTTTATGGGAACCAGTCAAGAACCCAACATGACCGGAGGAATCGGGGAACAGAATCTGCTCTGTACGACGAACTCAAAGGATCTTTTATGAGACTAGCCTTGTCGGACCTTTAGCTCTTCAGCGCGTCCGTATGGCCCGGATGTCTCGATGCCCAGTTTGGTTGATCGCTTTGTTGATAAAAAATATGAGCTGGTGCCGTTGTCTCTGTAGAGCACACCTTTATACGGCCAGTTTTTCGTAGATAGAGTCCATAATTGTAATTCCTGTAGAGTGACAAATCATTCACGGGTCCCAATAAGTATCCATCAACAGCCCATTTAGCAGGCATATCCTCTTGGAGAGTTATCTTCATGCTTACGTTAATCAGTCGCGTGAAATTAATGCGATGCCCACAAAAATTCAATGAAACCCAACCTAAGAAGGTAGACGAAGATGACTGTTGTTTGTTGGCATGCAGATTATCGGAGACGTGGCTACGGAGTGTTGAGATGTCGATACTTAGCAAAATATGAAAACCAAAGTCATGGAAAGGCTGTTGCTGAACCCATTGAAAAAAGGGAACAGAGCTGCTCTGTTTTGTAGCGCAGCCCAGCCATAGCACAAAGCTCGGAGACTGCTTCTCGCTGAAAAGCTTAAAAGAGTAAAGCAAAGACACCAACCTCACAAGAGAACATTAATAATTGAAGCAGAAACACACAGTAATGTTGAGGTATGGACTGGATCTCACTCGCAGCCTGATGTATCATTGCATGGTGGAATTTTATTATTGGGTTATCTCCTACAACGCAAAAAATTTACAATAATTGGTACGGTAAATTACAAGAAATTCATAATGAGTCGCGTCCTAATAGGAAAAAGGGCCCCTTTGATTAATATGATACAGGAAAATGTCGATTTGATATGTGGGGTTAGTCCATTTATTAAGATCCAAATAACTTCTGTTCATCTACTACACGTGTCAAGAACTCATTTGCATCCACCTACAAATGACTCGCATGTGGTGACTGAGAAGTCATGACAGCCATTCAACTACTACCAGCTTATAGTATACTATACAATCACTTCAAGGCACCAGTTAAGACATGAAGCAGAACCCAGGAATTTAAGAGAGATCTTGATTATTTACGGATCGCCAAACCCTGCATGATTTTTAAGGGGGGTAAAAAACACTCACAGAGGGAGAGAGTGAGATGATCCAAAGAGTGGCAAAAATTTATGGTACTAACTAACTAACGAGCTTCCAATAACCTCATTCATTCTGTTACCATCTTATTGTTCAAGGGAGTCACACGCTTTGGTAATTGGTTGGATGAATATTCTATGGAGAATACCCGGAAGTCACCTTTTTCAATCAGCTCAATAAATCAACTAACTGCGGTACACTTGATGAGGTCATAATAATATATGCAGTTTCTTTTTGTTGTCCAGAACAAAATATGCAGTTGAATGAATCTAGCCAGGGTTGCAAGTTGGGAGTTGGAGGTTGGGGCTAGAGAATTGAGAACCTCAGATTCTTAATGGTGACATTTAGTGTCCACCGATAAAAGCAAAACAGCGTGTTGTCAAGGAAAGAAAGTAAGTTATGTCCGTCTTATATTTCATTCCGAAATTAAGAAAGTAAGTTATGTCCAAGTATGAGACTGTCAGCGATGGCTTTAGCTCGCTGCCTCACCCATTAATCTTCATTAATACTACCATTCCGCCTACCAAATTTGCTTCCTTGCTGAGAGACGCATCACGATATATAACTCACTAAATGGGAATGGTGAGAAGAGGAACCAGGAAAATTGGTGAAAATGAAAGGAGTTGATAATGGAGCAGAAAAGCCAGCTGATGAGGGATAAATCAACAGTGTAATGGGGGGTGAAACCAGTTATTGGGGGGTTGATTTGAGAACAGGGAATGCAGGAAAATTCAAAGTAAGTTGCGTGGCGCAAGAAAGGTACTGTGGACTCATTTTACCACTGGGACTGGCAGGGCAACCCATTTCTCTCGCGGGTCCCCCATTAACCTTTATAAGTGTTGTGTGACTCATTGGGAAGTGACGGGAACAACGCATAAGCTCATCGTTTTCACTTGCATGCCCTTTGCTAAAAATCTCTTTCTCCCTTCTCTGTTTCTAGTTTCTTTCACCCGTGCCTCCTTCTTTGTAGGCTGTACACAACACCAGAAACTTCAAAAGCCAAAAAAAAAAAAAAAGCATCACCCCTTTCCCATCCTAATAATCATTGCCGACGATGAATGTTGAACCCCAGAATTCTGAAGCAGAGAGCAGCTCAAACTCATTCTCCTCGCCGCCAACTTCACCATCATCACCCCCTTCAAGCAGGGCTCTTAAAAAATCAGTCTCACAGGGTGAGTCTCAGGGCCCAGAATCAAAAAAGATAAAACGCATTCGAGACTCCAATAAACATCCTGTGTATCGTGGGGTCCGTATGCGTAGCTGGGGCAAATGGGTTTCTGAAATTCGCGAGCCACGCAAAAAATCTCGCATATGGCTGGGTACATTCTCAACCCCTGAAATGGCCGCAAGGGCACACGACGTCGCTGCTCTGAGCATCAAAGGGAACTCCGCCATTCTCAATTTCCCTGAACTAGCAAGCTCGCTGCCCCGCCCCGCCTCTGTCTCTCCGCGCGATATTCAGGCAGCCGCAGCAAAAGCCGCTCAAATGGATCAGTTTGACTCGCCATCGTCATCGTCCGCCTCGTTATTGTCATCTTCATCTTCCATGACCTCGTTGGTTTCGGCAAGGGAAATGTGCAGTGGTTCGGAGGAATTGAGCGAGATCATAGAGTTGCCGAGCTTGGAAACAAGTGAGGAGACGCGTGAGTTTAGGAATGAGTTTGTGTTCATGGACTCTTTATCGGATGGGTGGATGGATCAATCACCATGGTTACAGAGCATGGAAGATTGTGACGGGTACATCGCTGATCAGCTAGCAGTGCCAGCAGAGAGTGGAATCATAAATAACCTCGATAGTTTGCTCTGGAATTACTGAGTGCCCTGTTTTTTTTCCTTCTTCTTTCTGAATGGTTGTGGTATATCTCTCTGGTTTTCTTTCTTTGTGTGCTATGCCCTTGTGGTTTTTCATCGAGGGGGGCTGCAACACAACACTGTCGTGTCTCTGTATTTTCTGCGTTTTCTTTGGGATTGCCTGCTCATGCCTCCCTCCTTTTGTTAGAATTGTAAAGGGTTAGGAATAAAACGAAGGGGGAATGTCAATGATTTTCTATACCTGTTCCAGAAATTTCATTACGCCCGGCTACATCCTTGGAAACTTGAAACCCTCATCCGTGAGATGAAAGCTACATGCTTGGAAGAAAGAAGAAAGTATCCACTGAAGAGGGAACGATCGGAAAAACAAACACGGGAATCTTGATCATATCGTTGTTGACTAAAAGCTTAATTTCCAAAAGTCGCCTCTCTCTTGACACACAGTTTTCTTTACGTTAAACAGAATATTACCATTGTCAACGCAGAACAGAGCCCTGTGGGTAGGTTGAATCGTCTAAGGTTATACTCTTAATTAAGGAAGAAGAGATCCTTCTTCCTTTCTCCCAGTTATGAGGAATGAGAAGCTAAGTTTTGGTTATGGCTGATGCAAGAGATGGTGATGAGTGGGGGCCCAGCATGTGTGTATACGTGACAATGAGCATCCCCATTTATCCATTCATCTGTACCTGTACGGGTTGGTTAAAAGGAGGGGGGGGGAAGAACTACCCTGTACGGTACTTTTTTGGATCCTTTCATTCAACAATAACAACCGCATCATTCAGTCTCATTATAGATCATATCAGTGATTTCGTTCCGGAAACCTTGTACTTTTTACACTAATTAATTAATTAATGTAAACTGGAAGTATTGGCTTCCTGATTCCTGATGAGCGAGCAGTCTCTGCGCAATCGGGACAAATGAACCATAACGTTGGAAAGGCCATCCAGCTGAATCCGATCATGCATGCCTTTCTTTATCTCCAATCATTATGGTTATCAAAACTTCAATTTTAAAATTCAGTGAATGTTCATAGAAAGCCAAAAAAACAAAAAACGACATTACGCTAGAGGAATGGAAAAGCCAATCACAGCACATACATGATCTCAAGAATTGATTTGATAAGATTTTTATGTTTTAACATCTGCTACATTATATATCACGTACGTTATAACGGGGGGGTCCAAATTAACATATTTCTTTCTCACGTGATCAAAGTTTGTGTCCCACCTCCATTTAGAAAGAAACAATCCGTTGCCTCGGAGATCGAGGGATATATCGATCGTATGCACACTGTATCTCTGTAACCAAAGTCCCCCATCAAATGTTCATTGTTTATATATGATTGGGGCAAGTTTGATCAGGACTGTACGTACGGGACTGTTGGCGATCGATCTGAATGCTTGAATTAATACATAAATTTGACATTTGATGCCTTGCTCACACACGTGCTTTTGTTGTACTCCAGAATATATATATATATATATATATATCTTCATGACTTAATTCACAGTTTAGTTCTCACATTCAATTAACCCAAGAATATATAAATTGGCACGTTTTGATCAAAACCATAAGTTTGGAATTGATGTTGAAGGAAACTTTGAAGCTGGGTAATCGTTGACGCGTCTGTTAAGTGAGAGTTTTACTTGTCAAGGAAGCCACCTCCGAATTTTCTCCAAATATTAGGCTCTTTTTTTCAATGAGAATTAATGGCATGTGAATATGGGGTAATAATAAAAAATAAAATAAAATCTGCATTAGTTAGACTCGGATGCCATGAGTTGAGGGGCATATTATTTAACACCATGAACAGCATTTGAAGAAGTATATTATACTACGTGGCTTAATCTGAAGGGGTTGGGAGGGGGCCGGGGGTTTCTTGCGGCAAGGGGATAGATTAATTGTGGGATAATTAAGAATAATATAACACTCATTAATTCCACGAAAGTCTAGAGGGAAACGTCATTTGCTTTAAAAGACATGATATATACTTGGATGCTTTGCTTTTAACAAATTTAAAGTCAATAGCCTTGGCTTACCCTTTTGATCCCTCTTTTTCTTGCAAGTTGTCATTTTCAATATCATCAAATATATAAACTTGAAGGGAGAAATATAAAGCGAATGAAAACCACAAAATTCCATTCGTCAAAAAGCAAAAAAGGAGAGAACCACAGAATCTAGCGTTCACAGTAGTAGGCACGATGCTTTGTTGTCGAAAAGTTTACTATTTTCAGGCAACACTGTACTACCCTCCATTATTAAGTAGAAATATAAAACCAAATCAAAGAAAAGCCACTGTTTGTCGACGCAGCATTATTATATTAATGTTAAACAATAATGGAGCCACTGTTTGTCCCCCAGTTAAACTCTGGACTATAATACAGGTTGGGAGACACTTACGAATGTGAAAACAGAAAATAACAGCCAAATATGGCTCTCTCTATAGATACACATATAAAAAATTGATAAAGATGATACGATTTGAAGATGGTCCATTTAAATCAAAAGGGCAATAATTAAGCAACTAAGCGAAGCATGCAACCACACAAATTAGGCAAACACCATAATGCATGTCCTAGCATGCATTACCAATACGGATTACGTATACTACGTATCCACATGTACCTAATCAATTTGTGTGTGCGTGTGTGTGGTGGAGAACCAAGCTCAACGCGCTTGTCCTTCACTGATCCTTAATTAATTAATTAATCAACGATGTGCTTTGAGTTGATCTACGAATATTCAATATATAATCACTTGGATGGAGTAACAGTCCGCTCTGGAGTCTAGCCCCATGTCTGCCCACTTTGATTGCAATAAAGCTAGAATTTCTTTCTTCCTTTTATTTTAAAAAAAATAGCTATATGCATCTCTTGCGTAGGCCATTATAAGGCTATTATATGTTAGGGATAGAAAACTAAGACAATAATTGCTCACCAAACAATTGATTAAGTCTATACTACTGTCCATGACTGAACAAATCATCAACCCCCTTGAGGAGGAGCAGTATGTATTTGACTCCAACACTGGTTGCCTTTTTGGTATATCGGTCTCATAATACTCTATATGCTATTACTTTAAATAATGATGATATGGAATCATGTATAGCTATAAATGCACGTATAGAGGAAGGGGCTCTGGTATGATCTTCCCTTTTTGGTATTATTTTATAAACAAATACTCATCATTGGTATTCAGCACATATAAATACAAGGACATTGTAACTGTCATTGCGGTTGCTGTTGTTGATTGATTATTCTTTCTGCATCGTTGCGATATTCTTTTTAATTTGTCTACCCCACGAAACCGTCTATAATTTTATACCAACCTGCACTTATTGAGCACGTTATTTGGCCTCTAGCTACATCACCTCTTTAAGCTCAATTATTTTCTTATTCATATTGATTCGTCTACACTAATTAATTAACTGACTTGCACTATTTTTATTAGCTCTGACAATTAAAAAAAAAAATCTTTCAGTAGAAGCATAATTTAATTAAGTTGTATTATAATATTGTCGGACGTGGGTAGCTGAGTTTTAAGTTTTGATTCTCCTTAGATATGAATTAGATAAGGAGAAATTGTTTGTAGATATAACCATATACTGCTTCATATAAAACCTAATTAATTAATTTAAATAGATTAAGAATGTTAGTTAAATTAGTTAATATGATATGTTTTCTTAAAAATAGCTTAGGTATCTTTTTTAATTCCCTTCCTCCTCTTCTATTTGATTATTATTGAGGGAGCATTAATAGGATTAATTTGAAAAAATTGATAAATATATGAAATAAGTATTAGATTTAGGACTAATAATATATATTAACTCTCCAGTTAAATCCTACGTTAGGGACTATATAAGTAATGACATAAATAAGGTCAATATTAATGTTATTTCAGAGAGATATATATATAACTACAGTGAATCTCACTTAATCATTGGCTCCAGGGATATATAATGTTAAAGTCAATATTGTCACAGCTAACAATATAATGTCTCATTGGCAAGCGTGGTGCCACGCTTATGGCCTGATAATTAAATAGATAATCACCTGCAGTTTCTAAGCAATCATGTAATTTACGTAATTTACACTCATTGTTAAATAAACACCCTCCTTTTCGTCCTTTCGCATAACCTTCCTAATGAACATTATAAACATGTGTGTGTGTGTGTGTGTGTGTGTGTGTGTGTGTGTGTGATATAGAGCACAAGCAGAGAGTGTCGTCCGGGATGAGGCGACTTTTGTAGAGCTAGACCCCTCATCATATAACTGAGGAAGAAAGATCAAAGGAAAAGGTTTTATATAATTGTGAATCTTCTTTTGCAAGATTCGATATCCAGACAAGGGCATTACGTGGGCAAATTTGAATACCCCAACCATATCAGACCATCACAGCTAGACATCATTATTTTGATTTTTTTAAGCCCTCCCTTTTTTTGTTGGAGTAAAGTGATGATATGATATTGAACATTTGATCCAAGTGTCAACGAAGGCCAATACAGTGAGACTAAGCTACAAGGACTTTGGCAAAGCCCTGCTTTTTACTGAACTTGATTTCTCTAATTTTTCCCATATATTCACTTGCCCTGTCATTCCTCTAATATATTCTGTAGATCTTTGCTATTGGAGTTTTTAAAGTACAGTAATATTATTTCATCCTCTCTACACAGTTAAACTGTCCACTTTTGAAGGCTCTATTATGCTCGCCAAATTTTTAAAGCATTATCACTGCAGGTCTAGCTAGGAGTCATACGATTAATAAATTTTGAAAGCAATAATATTTTTAAAAACGCGAAACGAAACCTAAATATGCACGAGGCATTGATCATCGAGCATCTTCTCCTTTCTTTTTCTCTTTGTGGATTGTGACTGTGTGTGAGGGCTCCATGTTCGAGACATTTTTGTCTCTCTTAAAATAATGGTACTTGTGTTCAACTTTATTGCGCTAATTTTTTTGCTTTGTACTGTAATGTGTTTGTTACTTCTGAATAAGATCTGTTCCGCACCCATTATCTTTCCCTCTTTTTCCCCCCTTTTCTTTTCTGTCTGGTTTGCTGTTAATCATGCGCCGAGATACGTGATTAACCAAGATCTTAATGAGGTCGGCCCTAGTATTAATGGTTGGTAATCGATTTCGTTTGTTAAACAGGAAGGATAATTCTATTTATAAGTCGTTGATCACGTGGGTCACCCATGTTTGGTTTTCTATGTGCTAGTATCATATATGGTTGACCCC